CTGCCCGCGGGGGCGGCCGCGGCGCCGGGCAGCGAGGGCGGGATGCGGCCGCGCTGCACCGCTGCGGGGGGGAGGTGGACAGGAGGGTAAAGGAAGGGGACCGAGGGGCGTGGGGACACCAGAGGGGAAGAGGCAGCGAGACAGGAGATGGGAGGAAGGGAGGGGAAGAGAACCAAAGAGGGTTCCCCGATGGAGACAGGGGGGCAGGGAGGGACGGAGGATGAAAGGGAGGAGAGACAGAGACAAAAGTCATCAGAGGGTCACTGAGTCCCTCCCCTCCAAGGGCCCCAGGATCCCCATCCCCACCCAGCTCTGCCCTGTCTCCTCCAGCTTGAGCCATGTCCAGTCACCTCTTGGGCCCCCATCCCAGCTCCTGGGGGCGGGGGCATGTTCTCTGGATGGGAACAGAACAGCTGGATGAGGGCTCATTTAATTCATGCCTGTCTCCCTCTTGCTGGACTGTATGACCTCGGCTTAGAGACCATGGAAGCTCTATCTGTCAATCATGTCACCATCTGTCAATCACGGGGGTCCAGGAGCTGAGAATGGAGTCAAGGAAGTCTTGGGATTCCTGGCCAGCCCCGTCCCCAAAGCAAGCGATCAATACACACCCATCCCCAGCTCTGTCCTATGCAGATAGGATCATCTGTCTATCTTCTATCCTCTCCCTACCAGACCTGGGCTCCCCGGGCAGGTCTTGTCTGGCAGGGTCCCTGTGGAGGTGGAGTTGGGGGTCCCAGCATGCAGGTGGTCCTCAATAAACATTAGCTGCCATGAGTAACCCTGTCTATGAAGGGGATAAGACCCATTGCTGGCCTGAGCCCATGTCCCCAGTGACCAGGTGGGAAAGAAAAGGGAAACTGAGGCACAATGAGGAGGTCATCTGGCTGCATGCCTGCCTGGCTTGTGCCAGGGTGGGTGGAGTGGAGGGGCACACTGGGCTGGGTGCCAGGCAGAGATGAATTAATGTTTTTGTTTTAAAGATAGACCAGTAAGGGGATCTTAACCCTTGACTTGGTGTTATCAGCACCACGCTCTCCCAAATGAGCCACAGGCCGGCCCGAATTAATGAACTTTTTTTTTTTTTTTTTTAAAGATGACCGGTAAGGGGATCTCAACCCTTGGCTTGGTGTTGTCAGCACCACGCTCAGCCAGTGAGCAAACCGGCCATCCCTATATGGGATCCGAACCCGTGGCCTTGGTGTTATCAGCACCGCACTCTACCGAGTGAGCCACGGGCCGGCCCAGAATTAATGAACTTTAATGAGCCAGCACACCCTGTCTCATCACCTCTGTGAACTCCAGGTTAACCCCGGATGAAGAGAGGGAGGAGGGGGTGCAGGCAGGGGCCAGGGCTAGCAGAGACAGGTTGAGCAGCACAGGCCTGGGGTCGAGCCTGCTCCACATGATCTCTGAGTCTCAGGGTCAACTGTCAAATGGGTGTAGCTGAACAAGGCCCAAAAGCAGCCCCTGGCTCTCCCAGGAGGACCTTCTCCTCCTGTGCTCTCTGGGTGGTAAGCCCCACCCCCATTCCTCCCTCACCAAGCTGTGTTCCCACCGCAGGACCTTTGCACATGCTGTTCCCACTTCCTCAAACCCCTTCCCAGCTCTTCTTCCTCATCATTCAGCCCTGACTGTGGAGGTTCAAATCCCAACCACAATTCTATTGTTCTCTGATCCTGGCAAATGACCTTACTGATCTGTTCTCTGTGCCTCAGTTTCCTCATCCATAAAATGCAGATGATGACCAACCACTAAAGTAAATGAAAATCTCTGTAACTCCCTTAGAATAGTACCTGCCACATAGGAAGGGCTAAATGGATGGCAGTTGAAGCCAAGAATCATTTATTGAGTGCCTACTGTATACCAGGCCCTTATCTAGGTGCTGGGGACATATCAGTGAACAAGACAGGACAAAATCCCTGCCCCGAGGGAATGGACATCCTGGTGGCAGAGTAGGTAAACTGAACAATGAGGTAGATGATGTGAAATAAAAGTGAAGTGGGAAAAAAAAAAAAAAAAGAAAAAAAAAACAAAAAAACAAATCAATTCACCCACATACACACACACACACACACACACACACACACAAAAAAAAACCGGGGGGGGGGCGGGGAAGAAGATATAACAACTATACTTTCATGAAGTTACTACAACAAGCAAACGGAAAAGACATTCTTGGGGGGGAGGGGAGAGAGGGAGGAGGGAGGGAGGTGTCGGTGATGGGCCATAATAATCATATACAGTGTATATTGACAAAATAAAAATTTAAAAAAAAAAAAAAAAAGGGAAGGGGTGGGAGGGTAATCAGGACGGCTTCTCTGAGGACGTGATGTTTGAGCAAACCTTGAAGGAGGTGAGCAGGGAGCCATACGGATATCTGGAGGAAGAGGAGACAGCCTGTACAAAGGCCCTGAGGTAGGATTATGCGTTGGAATGTTAGTGATTATGAATATTTCCATCCCTGAGACTCTGGAGATCTGATGTATATCAGGATTTTAGGTCAAATGCACAAGTGGAGGCAAAATTTAGGTGGAGGGGAGGGACAAGAGAGTCACTCCCAAACTTAAAAGGACCAAAGGGAGTGATCAGACAGTTTTAAGAGAAAGACTCTGATCAGCCTTTCCCAGCTTCTACCACAGATGTCCAGTGAAAGCAACTTTAAAGCAGGAGAGAATCAGGTTAGATGCTGGGAAGAACCACCAGCCTGGCCCATCATGCAGTCCAGGCAAGGACGTGAAACCCAGCATGGGGGCTCTCATCCCACAGGGCAGATTCTGCTCCTAGAACCCCAGGGCTCCATATGGAAATCTCTGGGTTCCACTTGCATTTTGAAAGTGTTTGGCAGAGTTCCAGGCCCAGCTGGCCAGCATGTGTCCATCCACCCAAGTCTCCTGGGCAGAAACAGGAGGCTGGGCTTTCCTCTGGCTCCCACTGCCCTGGGTCAGGAGGAAGGGTAAGCTGCCCTTTGCCTTAATCTGGCCAAGTTCCTGCCTTGGGCAAACAGAGAACAGGGGGCGGAGGGCAGAAGGAAAGCAAATCAAACAGAAATATATATCCTTATTCAGAAAGCAGCAGCCAGGTGAGGGCACAAGGAGGTCACCAAGGTGTCAGGGCCAGGGAACAAGCCTCTGGGGCCATGGGGGATCAGGGGAGGGAGCTGCTGGGAAAGAGGGGGCTAGAGAAAGTCTTAAGATGGGCCCAGGTCAGGGCGTCCTATGGCCACAGATCATAATTGGATTCTTCCAGCCTAGGGCCAGACGGCGGCCAAAGGGATCAAGGGATCGGTGGTAATGAGGTTAGCAGGCGCCAGACCCCAGAGACAGAGAATGAAAGGTGAGGCTGTGTGTTTACCCCGCCTTAGCCCCGCAGCAGCTACTCACCCTCCTTCCGCATGCCCACCCGGAAGCACTTCTTGAGGCGACAATACTGGCACTGGTTCCGATGATGCTGGTCAATCTGGCAATCACGGTTGGACCTGGGGATACGCAGAGGCCAGGGCTCCCTATGACACCCACATCATCCTCCCTGACCCACCCTATGAGCCACCTTTAGAGGCTTCCCCTAAGAAACACCAGTGGGAGGTGGGGCAAAGGGCACGGACTGGGAAAGTAGGCCCAAGGGGGTGCAGGGACTCAGCCTGCAGTCCTACAAAGAGCAAAGGACAATCAAGGTGGACAAATAAACAAATAGGAGTCTATGGAAAAGTAGATGAGCACACCAGGGAGGGCACATTGGGAAAGGGTTTTGAAGGATGAATAGGAGTTCCCCAGGTGAATGGAGAGGCAATTCCGGGCAGAGGGTGCAGCACAAGAAAGAGGTTTGAAATGTGAAATATGGAGGCCTAAATGTTTCATTTTATTTGGTCACTGTCAGGCAGAGGGGAACATGGTAATGAGCTGGCCTTTGTGAAGTTAACTAAAGGACTGAGGGCCAGGCCAGGAGCCAGTCGTCTACAGGGTCACAGCACTGTGGGGCCTCAGCATTACTGCCTGCACAAGGCCAGCACCAATGAAGGAAGGAAGGAAGGAAGGAACTCCAGTTCTCTCCTGAAGGCCCCATACCCACATCCCCTCCTCTGGGAAGACCATCCAACCCCAGAGATATTTCCTCTCCTCAATCCTTGGGGATTACTGTTGTCTCTTCCAGGTGGCCCTGTCCCGAGAGGCAGTGAGCTCCCCATCCAGGGTCAGCCCCAAGCAGGAAGGTTCAGGCCCTTGTTCTTCAAATGTCCCCAGAACCTTCTCCCCTTGGCCCACGTCCCTGTTCTCCCATGGTCTCTCTCCACCATGGGCTGGGGGCTCTCCAAGATCTGGGCCAGACACCCCTGGGGTCCCAGCTGGGCACAAGAGGACACCCAGACACAGTCTCAGAACAAAACAAACACGGAAACACTTAAAGGAATAAACCAAACACATCCCAGCTACAGACACCCAATCCTGAACCTCAGGCAGAGACTTCCCCACTGAGCCTCAGTTTCCTCATCTGGAAATGGGATGCCAGACATCACCCTATATGGGATGCGCTGGGTCTAAGGTGCTCTAGGGGAGGACATAAAGACCCAGGTCTCAGCTGCGGAACCCAATGGCAGGATTAGGAAGGCTGAGGCTCTGGGGGTCCTCTCCAACTGCCCAGGTCCCACAGCACCAGCCGCTGAGACCCTAAGAAGAGGCCCCACTAGGGCAGAGGAAGCTCAGGCAGAACCAGAACAAAGCCCAGCGACAGGCAGTGGGAGGATCCAGGGCAGTCGGGTGGAAACAGCCAGGCCTGAGGCAGGCAGGCAGGCAGGCAGGCAGGCAGGCAGGCAGGCAGGCAGGGGCCCGGTTCAGGGCCCCCTGATCTCTGAATCTTCTGCCTCAACTTCCCCAGCTGTGGAATTAGGACAGATCTGTCCCCCCTGCCCAAGATAGTAAAACAGTAAGTTCTTCCTGTTATCCCACCTAAAGAGTACTAGCTTGCCCACCCCTGTGGCCCAATTCAGCCTCCTCCTTGGGCTTCCGGCCTCCACTCTAATTGGACCACAGCCCTCCCCTGCTCACACACCTGCCAAGGCTCCCCACTGACCTCAGAACAGTGTTTTAGGCCAACTTAGCTCTAACTTCTGCCATGCCTGAGTGGTCTCATCTTACAACACAGCTCCCCCAGTGTGCCACTAAGCGTTTGCCTGGGCCACACTCAGAAGTGCCCTTTGCCCTCTTCTGCCTGCCAAACCCCTCACGCTTCAAGGCCCTCCTCCAGGCAGCCCTCTCTGACCCCCAAGCAGAGCCCCGTGCTCCCTCCCTGGGACCCCAGACCTCACAGGCTTGGGGCACCTGTGTCTCACCGTCTCCTACAGAGTGGGGGCTGCCTCCCTCCTTGAGGGCTGGGATTGGGCCTGGGGTCTCTCTGGGGGACTGGCATTAAACCACCCAGGCTGGGCCCCAGGGGGATTCTGCTGAATCAATCTGAGGCTCAGAAAGGGACAGCAACTTCACTAGGTCACACAACACACATAGCATAGAGCTTCTGAAGACCTGCTAGCCCCAAACACCTCTGTCCCTTGGTGCTCCCTGACCCCAACCTCAGGGAGCCTCTAGGACCCCCAAACTACCTGAGCACCCTTCTCTGCTGCCATCCCCAAAGACAGGGCCAGAAACCAGGCAGTTATTTGAGCAGCAAGAATGAGGCCAAAGTCTGGTGGCCCAGTTAGCACAATTAGCAGGCCAGCTCTCCCACACATGGCCACCCCAGGCAAGCCCAGACCTAGGACCTGGGGCCAAACTCCAGCCTCAGGTGCCTGGGGCCCCACCCAATGGCCTTAGCCAACAAACCCTCCAACTGCAGCTCTCCCCAGGGATGCCGTAACCCTGACTCAGCCACCACCCTCCAGGCCCCACAGTTCCCCCTGCTAAGCCCCTGCTAACTGGAGCAGGGTCCCTCCATATGTGACCCGGGACAGGCACCAGGACATCAGGACATCTCTGGGCCTCAATTTTGTGCATCTGGAAAATGGGACTGTCTCCTCTGGCTCTGGCTCTGGCTCTGCTGAGACCATGCATGTTTGGGGGGGGGGGTGCAGAGTCGGGGCTTGTCAGTGAAGGGAAAGGGTGCTCTCCAAGGAGTGGTGGGAAAGGGGCCCTTGGGCAGGACAACCCCAACCCCAACTCCCAGGGGGCCTTCCCCCAACACCAACCAGGATCATTAGCAAGGCCACACCCTGCCCCAAGAGACTCCAACCTGGGACAGCCCAGGGCTCCTTCTTGGAAACGTTTCACTTCCATCTGGTCTCAGTGCAGCCCCAAAGTTTAAGGGATTTTCCAGGAGCCCCAGGTCTGCACCCACCCCTGGATGAGGGGAAGGGGGTGAGGTCAATTCCGGTGGCCCTACCGCCCCTCCAGTGGCGGCTTCCGGTGACCCAAGGCCCGGGGCGAGCCCAGGGGGATTCCTCCGTAATGGGCAGGCTCAGCTCCCCCCCAACCGCGGGGCCCCTCGTGAGAAGGAGGCAGCCCTGTGCCATGCCAGCCTCCCTCCCGCCACCGCCGCCGCCTCGGTAGCCAGAGCGACTTTGGAAGTGATATTTGACCCCAAGGGCGCGCCGTATCGATCCGCGCGGCCGCAGACAATGGCCCCTGGACGCTGCGAGCTGCACGGCCTAAGTTCCACGTCCGATTCCCGCGGAGTATCCCGCACGCCGCGATCCCCGAGAGAAGGGGTGCCCTCGGGTCAGAGCTGCACCCCGACAGCACCCCCAACCCCTCCCCTCACGGAGATGACCCCTGAGAGAAGGGAAGGAGGAGGAACAAGTATCTGGGGCGGAAGCCGCAAAGGATCACCTGATGGGGGGACGTGCATCGATGCAGCGCCAACTGCATACACACCCCAGGAATGGAATGCACGGAGGGGTGTGCTGTGCCCCTATCTCGGAAGGGGAGTGGAGGCCCAGGGAAGGTCAGCGCCAGGCCCAAGGTGACCGAGCAGGTCAGAGCCCGCCCCAGGCCGGGCCGGGGTGCAGAGCGGCGGTGCGCTGCTGGGGGGCTCACCGGCAGGTGTAGCTGAGGTTGCGGCGGATGCTCCGCTTGAAAAAGCTCTTGCAGCCCTCGCAGGTGAAGACGCCGTAGTGCTTGCCGCTCGACTTGTCCCCGCACACCACACAGTCCACCTGCAGCCCCGGTCGCTCCTCGTCGCCCGGCTCGGCGTCGCTGGCGGCGCCGGGGGGCGAGGCCGAGTCTTCCTCGGCCGA